GCTCCTTGGGAGCCTGCTTCTCCCTCTGCCTCTCTCTCTCTCTGTCTCTCATGAATAAATAAATAAAATCTTTAAAAAAAAAAGAAATGATAGTTAAGTGATGTGATAGAGGTATTAGCTAATGGTGGTAATCCTATTGCTATACATATATATAGATATAGATATATAGATATGTATATATGTATGTATCAAACCAACACATTGTACACCTTAAACTTACATCATGTTATGTCAATTATATCTCAACTTTAAAAAGAGGTGCAAAAGGTTATATACTGAACATTCTTTTTTCCACCTTTATCCCCTAACCACTTAGTTCCTCTCACTAGAGGAAACCACTGTTTCCATGGGACATATTAGGTTGATCTATATGAAATTGGCAGTATTCGACTATTTTGATATGCAACAATGGCAGTTTCATGTGGTTCAAACTAATAGCAGTGGGAAAAAAAAGATTCTTGTCTTCATAGAATTTTCATTCCAGTGGGACACGTATTAGTTAATTGTTGCAGTGTAACAAATTACCTAAAAATTTAGTGGCTTGAAACAACAAACATTTATTGTCTTAAAGTTTTTGTGAGTCATGAATTTGGGAGTGGTTTTGCTGGGTGATTCTGGCTCAGGGTATCTCATGAGGTTGTAGTCAGTATGTTGACTGGAGCTTCAGGCATCTACAGGCTTAATTAAGTCTGAATATCAGCTTCTAAGATGGTTCACTCACTTGGCTGTTGGCAGGAGGCCTCAAATTCTTGCCACATGAACCTCTCCCTAAGACTGCTTGAGTGTCCTTATGATGTGGACAAGAGAAAGGACAAGGAGGAATCCACAGTGACTCCCGCCACCCATAGTGCCTGCCTTTTATGAATCATACCTTGTCTATTCCACCATATTCTGTTTGGAAGCAAGTCACTGAGCACAGGCCACACTCAAGGGAAAGGAGTTAAATTCCACCTCTTTATTTTTTAAGATTTCATTTATTTATTTGAGAGAGAGAGTGAGCAAGTGTGAGAGAGAGAACATGAGCAGAGGGAGAGGGAGAAGGAGACTCCCTGCTAAGTAGAGAGCCCGATGTGGGGCTTGATCCCAGGACCCTGAGATCATGACCTGAGCCGAAGGCAGTTGCTTAACCGACTGAGCCACCCAGGTGCCCCAAATTCCACCTCTTGAAAGAAGGAGTAATGAAGAATTTGTGAGCACATTTTAAAACCACCACAGGAAAACAGATAATAAGCAATAAACATAGTAAGTAAATTATGGAGTATATTAGAAGATAATAAGTTCTATGAAAAAAAGACAAAATACAGCAGATGTAAGGGGAATCAGAGTGTATGTGTGTGGAAGGGATGTGGATTGCAATTTTAAGCAGGGTCGTCAGTGTAAAACTCATTAAGGGGATTAGATTTGAGTAAAGGCTTGAAAGATGAAGAAGTTAACTAAGCAGGTATCTGGAAGAAGAAAGTCTATTCCAAGGGAATAGCTAAAGCAGTGGCCCTGAGGTGAGAGTAAAATGAGATGAGAGGAAAGAATGCTGATGATATTTTATTAGTACAATATTTTCAGTTGAGAAGGTGGGGGGAAAGTTGAGGAAGGATTATTTCCATTGCTGAAATTAGTGAGTTCATTGTTTCTAATAGGAATGTAAAGAAGAAATCAAGATGGATCGAAGTATGGGTGTGGATTCGGTCACCATCTCTGTTGAGGGGATGACATGTAATTCCTGTGTTTGGACCATTGAGCAGCGGATTGGAAAACTGAATGGTGTACATCATATTAAAGTAAGTTAGTCTTTGGAAATCAGTGAAGTCAAATGTTGTTGACTGGAATTCTAGAAAATTACTTTTAACACTGAGATAGAAACAGATACACTGACACATTTGGCAATGAAGACTGATAAGATTGATATATTTTCTTTGCCCCTTTAACTTTTCTTTTTATAAAAAATAAGAAATTATATATATTTTTCAACTTAAAAAAATCTGAAGACAATATTGTCAAAATCTTGACATTATTATGGTTGCATATTTATAGATTTATGTTTTATAAGTATATAGATGTAAATATACTTTTTATTACTCTTAATTTCATACTGAACTAAAATATATGTTTTCAGAGAAAGGGTTGTGGGCTTTCTTCTCTTATATAGCATGACAATTATTATGTGAAATAATAATCTTCCTTATGCACATGCATACAAGGTCTAACAGTAATTTTCTAAGCTTTTTCACTTCAATTTTTTAAATGTTTCTAGTTAAAAAAATATATATATATTTATTTAAGTAATCTATACACCCAACATGGGACTTGAACTCACAACCCCGAGATCAAGAGTCACATGCTCTACCAACTGAGTCAGTCAAGCTCCCCTTTCACTTCAGTTTCTTTAAAAAAGATTTATTTATTTACTTTAGAGAGAGAGTGGGAGGTAGGGTGGGGAGAGGGAGAGAGAAACCTAGGCAGACTCTGCACTGAACACAGAACCCCATGATCATGACCTGAGCCAAAACCAAGAGTTGGATGCTTAACCGACTGTGCCACCCAGGCGCCCCTTCATTTCAATTTTTAATTGCAAAAATAAAATTGACTATTGTCAGACCATCTTAACACATTTGTGCTATAATTCATCTCAGAATGTTACTTGATGAAAGAGTGGTTTATATATATATTCTAATTTGTCTGTAATGAACCTGAATTGTTAATGTAACTATTATAAATAAATAAGCTAAACGGCTTTGTTTCACACCTTCTAAACACAAGAACTGAAAGTCCTGAAGTCAATACAAGGCTATCCTACAGAGAATATAATGATGCCATCCCCTCTCATATCTTATAAAATTTTTTTGAATGTTTCCCATGTTCATTTTTTGACATAGACATATATTAAAGCTACACTGGGTCTTATATATGACTTCAAGATTCTAACCTCCTGATTTTACAGATTAGCAAATGGAAGCTTAGAGTAATGAAGTGACTTGTGCTAAATTACACAGCTACCTATTACCAAAGCAAAACTAGAACTCACGTTCCATGATTCCTGGGCCAGTGTATATTCCGGTCATATAGTGTCTACAGATGCATTTTAATTTGCATATGGTTCTCAAACTGGTTGTCTCTGAATTATTCTCTCACGTAAGTTCTGAAAAAAATTAATCATCATAAAGGTGCCTCTTACCACCTAATTGATGTATTTAGCTTTATATGGCTAGTCTCTATAAGTTCTTCTCAGAATAATTCTAGTATTTTTTAGTATGAAAAACCTTGAGTTATGTTTTGTCATTACTTTTTAAAACTTTTTATTTTCATGTTGTTAAAAATGTCTTTGATTTTAAAGCCTTTGGGGTAAAAAATGTTTTGATTAATCTTTACCTTATAATCCAGCTTTCTCAATCTCAGCACTATTGACATTTTGGGCTGGATAATTTTTTATTGTGTGAGGGCTGCTCTGTGCTTTGTAGGATGTTTAGCACACCCCTGGCCTCTACCCACTGGATGCCAATAGCCTTTTCTTGTACTTGTGACAATGAAGTGTCTCCAGGCATTGCCAAATGTCCTCTGTGGGCAGAAATACCCTCAGTTGAGGTTCACTGCTGTAGTCCCTTCTCAGAGAACCTACTATACACCCTTTGGCTGTTCAGTTAGTATTTGATGATGGTGAATTGATTTATTGAATAGACTCATGTGCCCCTTTGTCTTCATATTAGCTTCTTTTGTTTTGTTTTTGTTTGCCAGTGACAGGTATAGTGAGCAGTGGTTCTCAAACCACAACATGAGAATCACCTGGAGGATGTGCTAAAACATAAATTTCTGGGTCCTACCCTCAGAGTTTCTGTTTTAGTAGGGCTGATGGGACCTGAGAGTTTGCATTTCTAACAAATGTCCAGTTAACTCTAATGGTGCTGGCGCTGGGACCACAGTTGGAGAACTATTATATTGCATGAGATATGCTTACACTAAAAATTATTTGTTATTTATCTGAAATTTAAATTTAACTCGGTGTGTTGTGTTTTTTTAATTAATTTTTTTAAATTTATGTTTTATTTTATTTTTTTTAAGTGAGCTCTGTGCTCAATATGGGGCTTGAACTCATGACCCCAAGATCAAGAGCTGCATGCTCTAATGACTGAGCCAGCCCGATGCCCCTGGGTGTCTTGTATTTTTATTTGCTAAATCTGGTAACCCTACTTTGAAGTCATCCTTCTTCCTTACTTTTATTATTTATTTATTTATTTTAAAATGTTTTATTTATTTATTCATGAGAGTCAGAGAGAGAGAGAGAGAGAGAGAGAGGCAGAGGCAGAGGAAGAAGCAGGCTCCCCGCCTAGCAGGGAGCCCGATGCGGGACTCGATCCCAGGACCCCGGGATCATGACCTGAGCCGAAGGCAGATGCTTAACCATCTGAGCCACCCAGGCGCCCCTTCCTTCTTACTTTTAGCCCCTCATAAACACTGATTTATTTTTTGTCCCTATAAATTTTACTTTTTTAATTTTTTTAAAAGATTTTATTTATTCATTTGTCAGAGAGAGAGAGATAGTGAGCATAAGCAGAGGGAGAAGCAGGCTCCCCACTGAGCAAGGAGCCCGATGTGGGACTCGATCCCAAGACCCTGGGATCATGACCTGAGTCAAAGGCAGATGCTTAACCAACAGAGCCACAGAGCGTCCCTAAATTTTACTTTTTAAAAGCTGCCATATAAATGGAATCATACAGCCTTTTGAGTCTAGCTTCCTTCACTTAGCATTATGCATTTGAAATCTACTTATGTTGTTGTCTGTATCACTGGTTCTTTCCTTTTTATTGATGAGGGGTATTCCGTTGTGTGGATGTGCTACAATTTGCCCATTCACTCATTGGGAAACATTTTGGATTGTTGCCACTTTTTTGTGATTATGTAAAACAATGCTCTGAGTGTTCGCATAGGAGTCTTTGTTTGGACATAAGTTTTCTCTTGGGAAGATTCCTAGGATTGAATTTGTTCCATCATATGGTAAGTGTATGTATCATTTGTTGAGGTGTTGGCAAATCATTTACCACAGTGACTGTACTATTTTATCTTCACCAGCAATGTTTGTGGGTTCTGCTTTTTCCAGATTCTCTCCAGCACTTGGTATTATCTGTCTTTTTAGACATTCTAGTGGGTGTCTTTTTAGACATTCTAGTGGGTGTGTAGTGGTATCATACTAATTGTCATTTCCTTAATGGCTAATGATGTTGAGCATTTCATGTGGTTGTTAGGCATTTGTATAACTTCTTTGGTCAAATGTCTGTAAAAACTTTTGTCAAATTTTTAGCTTTTTTTTTTTGTTTCCTTATTCAATTTTGATTATTCTTTATATATTCCAAATATAAATCTTCTTTTAGATAAGTGTTTTGCAAATATTTTATTCGGACTGTGGCTTGTTGTTTCATTCAATTTTTAAAAAGATTTTATTTAGGGGCGCCTGGGTGGCTCAGACGGTTAAGCGTCTGCCTTTGGCTCAGGTCATGATCCCAGGGTCCTGGGATCGAGTCCCGCATCGGGCTCCCTGCTCCTTGGGAGCCTGCTTCTC